CATTTCCTCCGCGCGGCCCAGCTCGCCCCCCCCATTCCGCCCGCTCCCTTTGTTTCATTGACTTTCGTGAATGAAACCCCAGGGCCCGGCCAGCCCGCCAATCAAGAGGCTCGCTCTCCCAGATGGGGGAGGGGCTTCTCAGCCGCGGAGCCAATTAGAGTGTAGGGGCTGGCTCTACTCTTCATTCACGGCTAGTTGCTCCCATTCATAAAAAAATAAATTCCTTGCCACCGGAGTTCATTCATAAAGCTCCAAGGGAAAAGGAGCGAAGTTGAGCGCCCGGCAGCTCCTCCGCGGTGTTCGGCGTGGGCGCACGTCTGCGTGCATCTGTGTGCAGGGGGAGTGTGAACGTGTCTGTGTGTGTGCCCTGGCAGGGTGGGGGCGGGGAGCGCGTGCCCAGAGGAGCAGTAATAATTGGCATTTACGAAGCTCCGGCTTCCACTAGCTTGTTTCCGTTCCCACAACCGGGTGCGCGGATCTATTGTTTCCATTTTACAGATGCTGAAAATGAAACCTCAGGCGGCAAACAAGTCCACCGGGGTCCATCAGCCGGAAGGCACCCAGAGTTCACAGACCCCGACCCCGCGGCCCTGAGGCCGCGATGATGCGAGTTGAGCGTCTTGACATCAGTGGATACACAGTAGGTGCTCAATAAATGTGAACTGGCACGGAATCGAGAGCTTTTCTCGGTTTCTGAGCTCAGCAGAGCTGCTCTGCGACCCACTTTCTCCTGACTGCTGTGGCACAGAGGCCCAGGAGGGAGATTCTGAGAGTAACTCAGCCATCTTCCCTCTTCCTTGGAAGCAGCAAAGGATCCTGGGAGCAAAAGCCCCAAGTCCCCAACGCTTTGGGCACAGGACGGTTCAGCTCGGGCCAGAGCTGGTTGTGGTCTGTCTCCTCATGCACGCATCCCTACATCCAGTGCATTGTGTGCTCAGCAAAGGATCCTGGGAGCAAAAGCCCCAAGTCCCCAACGCTTTGGGCACAGGACGGTTCAGCTCGGGCCAGAGCTGGTTGTGGTCTGTCTCCTCATGCACGCATCCCTACATCCAGTGACCATTGTGCCAAATGGAGAGCCGCGCAACCCAGGCACCCTGGACCCGGTCCCCACTTTTCCAGAGACACTCTGGGCTCAGTTTACACAGCCCTTTAGGGAAGCCAGCCATGATTCCTGCTGGCTGTGCTGTCACCTAGGGACTCTGCAAACCCCTGCTGCTTCCTCCTTCATATGTCCCAGGGACACATGCGAGCTCTTCCAGCCTGTGCCTAGACCTTGGGCAGCTGCTTAGGGCACATTTCACAGGCTCAGCTCAGAAAAATGGAAGTAAATCTCCTCTCTTCTCTGCTGAAGGCTCGCAGGTACGGCCCTCCCCAGGAAGCCTCCTGTGACGGCTTGCCTAAATTCCCAGGCTGCCTTTCCTTGTGCGTCTCCTCTGCCTCTCGAAGTCCTCCCAAGCCTTCTTCAGGCCCTCAAGGGTTGCTTGCCTTGCGTGACATACTTGTTTGGCAAACAGGTACAATAAAGACCACACCAATAGTGCTTAGCAGGAACCCTGCCCAAGGAAGGAGGGACAAGTCCCAGCAAATCCCACTTGGGCTGGAAGGAACCAGTTTAGGGAGTCCTTGAGTCAAGAGAAGCTGGGAGGGTGGCGGTTCCCACAGCTCTCCTGTGGGCTCTAGGACCGTGCAGATCCCTGTGGCCTGGGGCTGCAGCTGGGGCCTCTCTGGGGTGAGGAGGGGTCCCCCCATTCCCATCCTCCACAGGCTGGGCAGGGACTTAGGGCCTTCCTGCTCCGCTGGGCCACCGCTGCCACCTCCATCATCACCACTTCTGACTCAAGGCCCAGGCCCGGAGCAGCGATGGCTCCTCTTCCCAGCCATCAGGAACCACGGCAGTGTGACATTGCCAGCTAGCCTCACGTGCCAGCTCTGCTGTCAGTGCTGGACCTCTGGGAACGCCTGCAACCACCCCGAGGTCCCGGGAGCAGCCCTGTGACTGTCACCCTCAGTTAACAGATGAAGGGATGGGGGTGCACAGCACCCGCACCCAGGGCCGCACAGCAGGTGCCCTCATGGACACAGAAAGTGGGGCTCCTGGGAATGCACTGCCAGAGGGCAGCTCCCCTGGACACACTTCGGGGGCTTGGGCCAAACAGCCCTGCTGTCTCCCCTGCAGTCTCCTGGGGGCTCTGTGCTGCCTCCCAGGAGTTTCAGTGATAAATGCAGCAGACGCAGTGGTGCAAGGTGCCTGAGATTAATCCCCATTAGCAGGGAGGCTGAGGCAGGAGGATTCAGAGTTTGAGGCCACCCTGGGCCACTTTGGGAGTTGAGGCTGAGGTTAGGCTTTACCTGTGCAGGGAGGAGAAGGGAGAGGGTTGGAGGTCACAGCAGCCCCCCGGGAAGCAGGCTCCCCATGAGCAGAGGGCTGGACTCTTTGCTATGGGTTAGGTTCCTGGGGACATCACATGGATGATCTGGAAATGTCCCCAGGGCAGCTCCGCTGAAGCCCCAGGGCTTGGAAGGCAGTGCTCAGAGAGCTGGAGGGACCACGGACATAGCCACCGGGAGAGGAGCAGGGGCAGTTAGAGTCCTATGGTGGCTCCAGGGGCTCCAGCCTCAAGCTGTTTTGTTTTTTGAGGCAGGGCCTCACTATGTAAGCCAGGCTGGCCTCGACCTCACAGTGATCCTCCTGCCGCATCCTGCTGAGTGCTGGGATGACAGGTGTGCACCACCATGCCTGGCAAGTGCTTGCTATGGAGTCCAGGTTGGCCTTCAGGTTGAGATCCTCCAGCCCCAGCCTCCAGTGCGTGTGGTGGAATTATAGGCATGGGCTGCACCCTGAGTTCCCCGCTGTCCTCACTGCCTCACGTGTACACAGTCTCCTCTAAAACACGGGTCCATGGATGTGGGCCCCAGAGACCAACTGTGGGCCTGGGGTGCGAGTGTTCCTTTTTCTGAAGAAGAGGCACACCGGTCGTCAGGGATGGAAACTGCTTTCCTGCTCATTCACTTCCCCTTCCCAGGTCCTGAGACCCCACGGCGGCCCGCGGGGGGCACCTGGACCCAAGGGAAGGGCACGGGCCAGGCAGGGCTCTCTTGCTGAGTTCCACGCCCAGCCCCAGATTTTGAGAGGCTTTCATTAAGATGCCCAGGCCCTTGAACTCTCCGTCCTCCTGCCTCAGCCTCCTGAGTGCTGGGATGACAGGCGTGCACTACTGTGCCCAGCACATTATAATATTTCTAAATGAGCAGGATCCCTGTGTCCTCCTTTCCTTTGGAAAGTGGGCTCTGGAGGAGAGTTGGGTCAGTGCCGGCAGCCGGGAACCAAGGGTGTCCTGAGAAATGCACTCTTTATTTTTAGATGGTGCTGGTGACTTGAACTTCTATTGCTGCAAATGCAGCACCTCTTTGTCCTGCTCTGGCCCCTGTGGGCCCCAACTCTGGGCGGCACTGAGGGACAGGCTGCTCAGCGTGCGGTGGGCCGGGAGGCGAATGGAAGCTGGTCCGTGGATCCTGAAGGATGGGGCTGGAATTGCAGCCAGTTGGGCCCATTCCAGGATGCTCCCCTTTTTAATTAAGTGTGGACTTGAGTTATGAGGGGCCGCGGCTCCAGCAGGGGCTGCGCGGGGAGACCATTTCTCACCGGGAAGATTAAACACCGTGGCTGCACTTGGCTGCTCCGCTCGCCCACGAGTGTCTATATTTGCTCTTCCTCAGGAATAAATGGGCGGCAGGGTGGGGTTGGTTGCGGGACTGGCGGAGCTGGGGGTCCAAGTCTCCTGGAATCCTCTTCGGTGACATGGGGGCCTCTGACTATTCCTGAGGATTTTTCCCTCCCCCAAACAAAGCCCCTTTTTCTTTCTTCCTTTCCTGCTGACCCACATCCCCAGCCCTTTATTATTTTTTTATTTGGGGCCAGGATCTTGCTAAGTTGCCCAGGCTGGCCTCTAACTTGCCATCTTCCTGCCTCAGCCTCCCAGAGTGCTGGGATAACAGGGCTGTGCCTGGCTGAAACCTCTTTCTTCCTTCTCTGTGGCCCCTACCTGCCTGCTGTGGCTGAAGCTCAGCCCTCTGGGCTCTCACAGCCACCCGGGCCAGACTCACCATGTGAGTGCGTGGTGAGGGACGCAGCACCCAGCAGGGGACCCAGCT